GAGGGGGATTATAATGGGGCAGGTTCCCTGTCCCACTTACTCTATGTCCCAGTACAGCACCATCATCTAACATTTTGATGAGATGCTTTATGAAATATTAACAGCTATGTGATTATTAAATCATCTGTCTTCCCATAGTGAGGGGGTGGGACACAGCTGGAGGGCTATCTTTTTTTTTTTTTTTTTAATGTAGAGAGTAGTGAGCATAATATGAGCACAATGCTGTCCCTTAGAGGACATCTGGCTATATCTGCAGATGTTTTCAGTTGTTATAATTTAGCAAGTGTTTTGCACAGCTGGTAAGTTAAGGCCATGGATGCTGCTAGACATCCTTCAGTGCTCAAAACAGGCTCTGCAAAAAGGATTATCCAGGCACAGTGTCAGTATTTCTGCTACTGAGAAACCCTAGTGAAGAACAAAAGTTGCTTACAGCTGCTGCCACTTGTGTTGCTACAGTGGACCTTTCTCCTACCCTCTCTCACGCTCTGTTAGGACTCTGATTTTTTCCCTCAGAACATCCACAGTCTTCACATCAGATTTGATGCTGCCCTGTGAGAAACATCAGAAACATTTGCCCCCTCATCGGAGTCATTCTAGGACCTTCTCTGCAATAAGGTGCACAGCCAAGAAGAGAGACTGTTACTACTGCTCTCTGCAGTGTTCTCAGTCACCTGACCCTAAACCTGAGTGCCCCAAACCAGAGCTCCTGCCTTTCTGCATCCAGGCAACATGGCTGCCTTGCCTTGACTGATTTTCCCAACCCTTACATTGTGTGTTAGCCCACATATCTGCACCTCCAGTGTCTGCTCATGCTACCTCCTTGCTTCACAAGAACATTGCCAGGCCAGCTATTAACATCTCTACACAGTAAATACAATTGGTTCAACATAGGAACCAATGCCAATGTCATCGGCTGGTCAAGAAAACTGCCAGGGGGCTGGCACTATGGCGTAGCAGGTTGGCCTGCCGCCTGCAGTGCCAGTATCCCATATGGACGCCCGTTCAAGACCCGGCTGCTCCATTTCCAATTCAGCTCTCTGCTATGGCCTGAGAAAGCAGTGGAAGATGGCCCAAGTCCTTGGGCCTCTGCACCTGCGTGGGAGACCCAGAAGAAGCTCCTGGCTCCTGGCTTCAGATTGGCGAAGCTCTTGTAGTTACAGCCAACTGGGGAGTGAACCATCAGATGGAAGACCTCTCTCTCTCTCTCTCTCTCTCTCTCTGCCTCTCCTCTCTCTTTAAATTTGACTTTCAAATAAAATAAATAAATCTTAAAAAAAAAAAAAAAGAAAACTGCCAGCTTTTATTTTGGTTTTAACCTGTGTGGTTAAACAATGACACACTGACTGAGACACTACATACCACAAATGCAGAGGAACAAGGGGGAGGCTTACAAGTGACAACACAGGAACACTCTAATTGTGGTAATACAAACACTGAATTGCAAGTCCATACACTGGGAATTTAGCACAATAATGAAAAATGGTTCATTACAAAAAGATAAGCTTTAAAAAACCAGTGATAGCAGAGACGGAAAGAGGATGTGAAACTTTTGAGTCTCAAATAAGTCAATTATATTTTCACAATTCATAGCCTACCTGGGAATAATACAATTTAAAAAGCTTATTTTCATAGTGTTTGAATATATCGTTTCAAAACTAACATCTGCCTCTTTAAAATGTGCTTAATTTTTTTAAAGTTATGAGAAGAAATGAGTGACTAGGAATTAAGAAAAGCTACATAGCATGAGGGTGAACATAACAGAGGCTAGTGTCAGGTTGCCTTGGTTCAAGTCTTAGCTCCTGTGATCTTGGTCAGTTCAGTTAATTTACTTGTGCCTCTTTCTCCTCAACCACAAATTACAAATAACAGCACCCACGTCCTAGTGTTGTTAAGAGGATTAATCAAATTATATTTAGAAATATGCACATGGTACACAGACAACTCCATGAATTTGGTAAGTAAATAAGTAGCAACATTTAAAAAATATTGATTAAGTAGATGACCAGGCTTTTATGAATCAAAGAACATAGTTTTCATCCTCCCAGGCACAGGATCCCATGTTTCCATTCTTCTCAATAAGTAAAGTATGAAGAGCTCACCAAGATGGTCACTATGTCAGTACTGTATTGAATCTCCCTACAAGAATCACTTTATCCTGACAGAGATCAACTTCTAAAACGGCTAAAGGGAAAGAGAAAATACTAAAAAACAAATAAAAATATTATAAGTACTGTTTGCAGACTAATAGAACTGATAAAATCAACATTGGCAAATATCAAACAATGATATGACAATATTAAAACACACCACACGGAAGTTAGATCCAAAAGTCCTAAAGATACCAGCAAGATGAAAGCTTACAGTTCCTAATAATTATGAATACATGTTCAAATTTAAATTCTGCATTTCTGTAAACATGGTTCCTAAGACCAAATTTTTGATGGGAAGGCAGTCAGACACCCCTACATGAAAATGCAGCCATCTGCTTCGCAACTCATCCCTCTAATGTTTCCAAATTAATGTCAAAACTTTTCTTTTGTGAAACAAAAACAAATACCAGGGCAGATGTTTGGCCCATGAGTTAGGCTGCCAGTTGGGACACTCACATCCCATATCAGATACCTGGATTCTAGTGCCAGCTCTGCCCCAATTTCGGGTGTCTGCTAATGCGCATCCTGGGAAGAAACAGGTGATGACTTAAATAGTTGGATCCCTGCCACCCACATGAGAGACTAGGAGGGAGTTCCTGGCCCTCAGGTATGTGGGGAGTAAACCAACAGATGGGAACTCTCTGTCTTTCTATTTCTATCTATCTCAGCCTGACAAATGAGTAAAACAAATCAAAAATTAAAAAAAATAAATTTAGAATTCCTTTATTTAAAAAGGGGGCCGGCGCTGTGGCATACAGTAGGTTAATCCCATACTGGTGCCAGTTCTAGTTCTAGCTGCTCCTCTTCCAGTCCAGCTCTTTGCTATGGCCTGGGAAAGCGGTAGAAGATGGCCCAAGCACTTGCACCCTTGTACCTGCATGGGAGACACTGAAGAAGCTCCTGGCTCCTGGCTTCGGATCGGGTCAGCTCTGGCCGTTGCGGCCACCTGGGGAGTGAACCAGCAGATAGAAGACCTTTCTCTCTGTCTTTTCCTCTCCCTGTTTGTAACTCTCTCAAATAAATAAATAAAATCTTAAAAAAAAAAAAAAAAGACTACTGCAATACAGAAAGAGTTCCAAACTTAAGATAAACATGTGTGTCTCCAATTCAAGCAGAATAAAAACTAGAGTTAACGGCTTGTCTTTTGTAAGAAGGAATAAGCAATCTAAGAACTTTTGAGGGAAATTGGGCAAACAAGCGAGTATATGCAGGCAGCACTAATGGGCTGTAGTCACCAGTTCTTGAGCTGTTCTGCACTTAATGCTTGCTGTGCCTTGGGGCAAGTCAGAGTTCAGGGGTCTAAGAAAAAAGGCAAACTAAAGTGTGATGAAGCCAAGACAGAGGTGACAGATAACTGTGAATCACTGTTGTCTTTAAAACCTTAGAAGTACTAGTTTTAATGGCATTATTAGAATAAGAGTAAGCAGGAGTTACACCTTCTAAACAGCTTAAGTCAATAGGCAGCCTGACATCAAATGCAAGTCCATTTCTTTCTTTCTTTCTTTCTTTCT